CGCCCTATGTCTATCTGACATACCGGACGCGTTTGGCGACGGCCTCCCTCATCACGTCGATTCCTCGATTGCTCTCATCTGCGCATCGTCCGACGACGACATGGACTCCGACGAGGGGTCTGCTCCTTCTGCTGAGCACGCTCTCTGATTTACCATGGGCACTCAACGGCGTGTCTGTCAACATCAACGGACTTAACTCACCGACACAACTTTTGTTCACTCAACTCTTCTCCCAATTTACTGTGCTCGCGTTCCAAGAAACGAAGTTTTGCTCCTGGGACTCTGTCAAGCGTTCGAATTTTTTTTCTCCACCTAGTGGACTCCAGGGCGACAACCTTTTGGACACACAAAATCGACTCTGACTACACCGCATCTCGTGGACACGCCAATGTCGGTCTTGTTTTTCGTGGTGACCACCCCTTTACTTCGCTTAAGGACGTCACCGAGTGTTACGTGGACTTTGCCGCCTGTCTTACCGGTTGGTATCTGATTGTCGAAGCTCTCCTGGACGGCATGCTCCTATTCTTTCACGTGGTATATGCGCCGGTTGCCGGTGAAGCACGCAGGGCGTTTTTCGACCATCTTCCCCACACCTTTCCCGATGGGTGTCACCATCTCGCCTTGGGTGACTTTAACCTGCCCATCGACCCTACACTGGATGAACTCATTCCTACTCGCACTTCGGCAGGTCGTGGTGAACTCTTGGATTAGCAGCTCCGCCTTGGCGTGGTTGACGCTTGGCGTGCCACCCACCCTCTACTTCGAGAATTCACTGGGCCTGGTCGTCGCAATCGTATTGACTACGGTTTCGCATCGACACAGCTTCTTGCCGATTTTATCGTGGAGATTTCACATGTCTTCGACTATCAATGGCATCATGCCGACCATCTACCAGTCGCTTTCAAGCTCCAGTCTCCTCTCCATCCCGAGCGTTCAAGGCTGCCATGGAAGTACCCCAGGTGGCTTCTTAAGCACCCCGTCGTCACGTCCGTGTTAGCCTGCACTCTGGATGCCATGTGCGATCGCATACGCATTGGACTCGACGCCAACCCAGGAGCGGTGCCGGATGAGCACAAACGCGCCGACGCCATCTTTTTACGTCAAATGTTTTACGAACTGAAGAATGCAGACTTCGCCGAAGAACGCGCCCTCACCCAGGCCTACCATACTGCGACCTCTGTTCATGCGGCAGAACGCACCGCCGAGTCTTCTGCTACTTTAAAAACGGCTACCGAGGCTCTCAAGGTCTATCGTGCGTCTATCACTGCTCGTAGTGAGACGGCTAAATTCGACAGGGACATTAGTGAGGGTGAAACTGGGTCGTCCTATTTTTTTCGAGCCCCCTCTACCGTCGACTTCAAGGTCTCCATTCCACGCGCATCGCGCCCTGATGGCTCGACAACCACTGATCCGGATGAAATGGCTGCCATCCACCGTGAATATTGGGGTACTCTTTATCGCAGCCCTTCCCGCGACATTGTGTCGACTCCACCTCTGTCACCATTTCAACCGTTGGAACTTCTTCGACTGCTTCGTTACACAACCTCCTCGATCCCTGCGGCTTCACGGCTTCATCTGGAGGCACCGATGACGGCGAATGACTTCTACTGGGCTATTCAATCATCATCCAAAGGCCGGTCCAGCGGCCTTGACGGTCTACCAGTCGAATACTATCAGCTCAACCCGCATTCTTGGGCACGTATTTTTGAACTCGTGTACGCGAACCAGTTTAGTCTGGGGCGCATGACTAAATTTCAGAGGCGTGCCTCTATATCTCTGCTCTACAAGAAAGGTGATCGTAGTGATCCTGGCAACTACCGTCCGATTACTCTCCTCAACCATGATGCCAAACTTGGTCCTAAAATATTGGCTCATCGGTTGCGCGACGTGCTACCTCAGGTACTTCACGAGGACCGAACTGGATTTGTCTCGGGTCGTTCGATCCGTCACTCTCTTCTACGGTTCCAGGACCTTCAACAATTTTGTACATCTACTGGAATGACGCGTGCGGGCGCGATCCTTCTTGATTTTGCCAAGGCCTTTGACAGCGTTCTCTGGCCGGCTCTGAGCTTAGTGCTCGGCCATCTAGGCTTTGGCCCTAATTTTCAACGTCATGTGAAGACCTTCTATTCTGGGACTCTGGTTACAATTCTGGTTAATGGTCGAGCCAGTCGCTTCTTCGAGCTCGGTTGCGGGGTTCGTCAGGGGGATCCTCTCTCTCCAGCTCTGTTTGTTCTATTCATTGAACCTATGCTCAACTATCTTCGGGCTACTACGGGAGGACTCGGGGTTCGCGTTCCTACCGACCCTGTCCCCCACCACCTACTTGCTTTCGCCGACGATTGTACTGGACTGCTTACGGACCTGGCAGATGCGGCCCATTTCGTCGCGGCTGTTCGCTCCTACGCCAACGCTGTTGGACTTACACTGAATGTTTCAAAGACTATGGTCATGCCTTTCACTGCGTGTGACCCTACTCTTCGAGTCTCTCTACAAACCCAAGGCTTCTCTGTGGTGGCTGATTATGAGTCCACGGTTCTGCTGGGTATCGCCCAGAGTCCATGCCTCCCGGCCTGCCATCGCTACGACCGACTTATTCCTCTTATGGTCAATCGCTGTCAACTCTGGCGTTATCGTGCCCGGACGCTCCGTGGTCGCGCTGTCATCCTTCGGACCATTGTGCTACCTTTGTTATGGTATACCGCTGCTGTGACCTCCTTACCGGCACAAGTGGCCTCTCAGGTCACGAGGTTGTGCAAAAGTTTTCTCTTTAAACGGGACATCTCGGCGGATTCGGCTATTCGAGGGCCGATGGTAGAAGAATGGCTGTACTGGCCTACCTCACGTATTGGTCTCGGACTCCCTAACATCGCTACGTTTGCTGCCACCCTTCAGCTCTGCTCTCTACGGGACGGGATCCGCTCTGCTGCGCATCCTTCCATGGTTTCCAGGTGGAGCTCACCTGGCCTTACTCTCTTCTCCACGGTTTTGAAGCAAGCCGGATCTGGGTTCGACATATTATACTGTCCAGTTCCCCGATCAATCGCTCCTCCGCCGTTGTGGGCGCCACTCGGCCGGTTCTGGTATACAACCTTACAGACCTGGCACCGACTATTGGCCTCACCGCATCATACCTCACCTCTTGAGGCATACGTCATGGACGCGCCCCTATGGCGTAACTTTCGCTACCGAGTGGGTTCTCTGGGACGCCTTTTTGAGGACTCCTCCAAGCTGGTTTTATATTTTCGAGATCAGGGATTGATCCGTCCTCGTGACTTTCTACTTCGCCATGGACGGCCTCCTGACCTACGTTTTTGAATGTCATTACTTGCCGGTGTGACTTTTTCGAACATGCGACTCCGCTCCCTAGCGGCATCCCACTTCATGGCGAAGCTCGAGTCATGGGGGCTGGCTTCGTTGGGCTCCCATCAAGGTCCGGCACTGCCGGGTCTGCTCAGCAGTGCCAACCACGGTTGGTCGTTCCAAGGCGTGGCGTTTGGGAACCTTTCGAACCGGCGTCTCTATCGCATGCTCCATGACCTCCCTGCTATCGTCCGATGGCCTCATACTGCCAATGAGCTGGAGATACCCCCTAATTGGGCCGCTCTTTGGAAACTCGAGCTTTCTCTGGATCGATGTATTCTCCCTGTTTTGAGCGACTTGAAGCTTCGTCTGCAACACAATGCGTTGGGTGTTCGACGCGAACATGCTAACCACACTGGAGAGGTGCTCTGTCCTCACGGTTGCCCTTCTACCGAAAGTACCCGGCATCTCTTCTGGGACTGCTCCATCGCTCGTCGCCTGTGGACTGTTGTCTTCACGCCACTCTCCCCTCTGGTGGATGGTGTTATCTCGTGGGCGAATGTGTTGTACCTCCACGATCTCAATTTCACCGCTGCTGGCCTTCTCGATTACACACATCATAATTTGTTGGTTGTGCTCAACGTGTTTCGATGTGCCGCCTTCTACCCTCTCTGGCTGCACCGCAATGACCGGATTTATCAGGGTATTATTTCTTCGCCCCTTGTGCCTCTTTGTAAGGCGGTGGATTACATTCGGCTTACCCTGTCGCGCCTGGCACTTCTTTCTCCTGATAATCTTCGGCTGGCATGCCTCTGTCGTCGTCTCCTGCCGCTAGTGTGAGGGTGCTTTCTGGAGTTCTATCGAGATGTTCTTCCGTCCGCAGATCTACCATTTCTCTTCTCACCGACCCAACTTTTCGGGTGACTATAAGGTCAGTTGTGTCGTCGATGTGCTCCGTCACTGTCGTCTTTCGACATCACCTGGTTGCTTCCCGCACCTTGCCATGGATTGGGGAAGCCACTCCACATGCGCTTTTGCGTGTTGGACGTGGGCGTGGTGATTATTGGTGCTGCCGATGTGGCTCGGAGTTCATTTCCCATACTAAAATTGGTTTGGCTTTTCGGTCGGTTGTGTCGTCGACGTGTTTCATCACTTTCGACTTTCGACCACACCTGGTTGCGCACCGCGCTTTGTCATGGTTTGACGAAGCCACTCTACCTGCGCTTTTGTGCTTATTGGGGTGTGTTGTGTTTCTATCACTCGCCATTTATTCGGGGTTCTATCTCCCTCTACATTTTTCACGCCTGATTTTTCTGAGAATCTTGGAATTTCCTATATTGATGATTATTGGCTACCTACCTTCGGCCTACTTTTCCCTACTTACGCTGCCTACACTACCCTACGTGTCTTTCATTACTGGTTCCGCTATTTACGTTCCTGTCGGTTCCTATATCGTGACGTCTTCACGACATCCGTTACATTGACACTGAAACCACAGTGGTTGTCCCGTCTCTCCGGTATAATCCACCGTGATTTCTTCGTGTGTCGGGATATCCCTCTGTGCGACAAGGGCTATTGTTGGTCGCTGTCTTCCCCTCACTTCCACGAAGTTGGTGTTCGGACGGCACGCGTGCGATACAAACCGACTTATCGACCCGCAGTCCTCCGCGCTCACGTACACTTGACGACCTGCGTCA